CCCGAGAGTGACAATTGAATTTTGCCTTGCGGCCACTTTGTCTTCTCGCGATTATGTCATTTTCGTTCGGTGATATGATAGATCAAGGCCGCATTTCTTGCAGACGAGCCCACCGCGGCGAATTTACATTTAGATCGAGACGGATCAATCCATCGCCAAGTGAAGTTGATTCGACGGCGACGGACGAGAGTCATTTTTCCGCTCCGCGTTTCTGACCGCGGAGAAAAGAAATCGCCGTAGGCGCCCGGACTCTTCCTTTCTTCCTGTTTCTATCTCGAGACGGGATTTCACGCGTTGCTGAAGACGTTCGCGTAGGAAAATCGCGTGCAATCTTATTGTCGAGTCATACTCCGGCGCTCCGCGGAAATCGAATTTTATCGCAGAGCCTCTGTCACCGACGAGATTTGTCGAAGCGTGAACGTTCGCGGAAGATATCCGTGTTATAGCACAAGAGATAGCGAACTTGCAAGCATTCTGATGGCGTAATACACAGAATGTCTCATTGTCAGAATCGATATTAATTTCTCCGAATTTCTCGACCCATCGACTTTTCCTCGACTCAAATATTAAAATAAAAGTTAATAAACAATATCGTTATTCAACATAAAAAAAATTCAATACATTCTGAACATTGCTCTGAACATGGTGTCTATAGTATCCACATTTTTGTCTTTTCTAAAATTTATTTTTTGTAAGATAAATAAAGTGCTTAGCAAATACTTTAGTTTCTTTGTTTTCTCACGATTTCTCAAGTTGTGCTCGAATATTGCCCGTAGTCAGAGATATTTCAAGTGTAGTCACGCTTTCCACGCTACCGTCCTAATTGTCCACCTTCAGATGAGGTCCCCTGCTCGCGTTTTCACGCGACTTCTTCCGCGAGAGGTGTACTTATCTACGCTTCGCGAAGCCAGATGTAATTTTATCGTGTTGTTATAAAGAACTTCGTTTCGGCGTACTCGTCATTATCAAATGTCTTCGTTGAGAGAGAAAGAGAGAGATTTAATTCTCGAGCAGTCATCGAATACGCGCACTTGAGATTACAGCGATGGTTTTAAACGCGATATATCATTTTACTCTTCAAGCGAAGCAGGTACAAATAATGGTTGTCATACAACTCCGTTCTAAAAGCATCAATTAGCGTAAAATGGAAAGAGAAAATGCAATTATTAAAAAATCGACAGGAAAGTAAACTATTATTTTCTATTCCAAGTTTTTGCGAACTAAGCAAGAATAATTCTTTCCTCAAATTTTCTAGAAAATTCAGAGAGAATTTTACTTTAAAAAAAAAAAATACGAGTAATCATCATATTTTTTGCAAGCTTTAAGGATAAAAATATTAGTAGCCTTCAATAAAAACCTTATTATCTCACTCCATTCGCTCAATCCGCTTTCGATCAAATATGCTTAGAGTCGCGTTAATTATTATAAAATAACTTGCTATCAATGAATTTTGAAATATTTTTCCATACTTTTTCGCAATTAATGTTTCATGTTTTGTCGTCAGCTTGAAAAAATTACACACATTTATCTCTCAAAACTAGATGTGAGGGATCTTTTCCCTTTTTTATAAAAAAAAAAAACCTTATTCCAACTATTCGAGCAAGAACGGCAGTATGAGATTTCTGAAAAATGATCAGCCTCGCGGGAACCGCACAAAGGGCGTATCCGAGCACTAGGAAAAGGAGGGAGATGAGAAACCCGTCTTTCGTAGAACAGGCTAAGCTCTTTCGGCTTACATACACGATGAGATTGCCTGTAAACGCGGCACGATGCTCCGGATGCGCCGCGGCGAACGCGAGGCGCATGAAAAGGAACGCATTTGAATTGGCGAACGCACAAAGAAAGAGAAAGAGTCATGGATCCACTCGGGCTGAAATTAAATGGGCGGAACTGAAGCGTTGCACGCGCACGGCGTTGTACAAGACCGATTCTGATTGTGAATGTAAAAAGTTTCTTTTATTTCTTCAAGAGGATCCTTCGCGACAAAGAGTATTTGGTCGAGAGCGTTCATTCTCACAGCGCAAAATCAATCTCTTCTCCAAACGTTTTCTCATAAACGCGACACTGTTAACGCCAGAATGCTTTTCAGAATTTTAGTCTCGCAATATCAGCGCGATCAACGGCGGATCATCCCTTCCGCGCAGTAACCGAGCGATCAGCCTCAAATTAAAAAGGAGAAAGAAATTTTGAAGGAAAGAGAATAATGGTCAGGAATAATCTTAGAAATATAAAAAAATTGCAATTTAAAGAGAAGAAGCGGAGGGAAGAAAAGAAAAGGCTTGGCAGACCGTATCTGCTGACGAAAAAAGAAAAATTAATAAAATCTCGTAACAAAAAGCATGAACATTGAAAAAATACGGCGGCACACTGCGTCAAAAACACGCGAAGGTCGCGATACAATCATCAGCGACAAGTTTATTTCTTTGACGTAATCATTCTCGTCACTCGCGAACACCGATGTATCGCACAAAGTGCGGATATCATTAACGACGTTTCCCAACTGTGTTTGAGTGTGCGCTTGCAATTAGCAGAATTCAGTTTAATTCTGACGTCCGACGACTATTCCGACACTATACAACGACTCCATTTGCGATGGAAAAAAATCGCCGAGTAAAAAACTTATCGTGGGAATAGTCGCATTTGCCCGCCCTATTCATTTTTCCGCTGTTCGTATTTCATCGCGATAAACAACACACGACGTGGAGTGAAAATCCTTCGGAAAACAGGCTACGGGTTATTAGAGATTGTTTTCGTGCCAGCAGGATGATGCTTCCTAGGTTTCGCACATCGCCCGAAGCTTAAAAACTGCAGCGTGGTGTACGGTGAGTCACGGGATGGCAAAACGCTTCGCGCGAGAGGGCACGCAAAAGCGACCTTCGGCTCTAATAAGATTTTATTGCGTGCTACGCTGTGAAAGAAATTGCGACTGGGCAATCAGTCGAGTTCCGAGCTTTGCGACCCGAATAAATCATCGAGTAGAAACGAATGAAAACACTTACTATCTCAAAGCTCAAGTGCAAGTGCATACATAGTCTGATAAATTGAAAAAAAAACCAAGTATGTGGAAAAAAAATGATGAAAACAAACAGAATTTCTTTGAGTTATCTACAAAATTGATGTATATTTAATATCATAATGCTTTTGTAATTGAAATTTACGACATCTGTATTTTCTAAATAAGATGAAGCATATTATATATTTATAATTGTACGTATATTTTATTTAGAAAATAAGTGTTGCAGTAATTATAATTATTTTAATTGATTTGTAGCAAATCGAATTTTATTTTGAGTAAGACTGCACAATTCTATTTTTTATAGTTTACAGAAAATGTTAAGTCAATTCGCATCGCGCGAGGAATATCGCGAGAGATTCGTATGTGAAAAGACTGCCTGCCTTTGAAATTTTTATTACAGTTTCACCGCAGAGTTTCTACCTGCAGCAGCAACTGTCGTGCGCCGTCGTTGCAGTAACAATTCTCTCAGGAGTTCGTGTTTCCCATCAAGATATAGCTAGCGCGAGTCCTAAATTTCCGCAGCGCTCTGAATTTTTGATGCCCGCGCTGCTTCCGGGACTCGAAAAATTTAGATCTCTTACCGTCGATGCTCGCAGATCGGAAAATAACCGATTCCATGCGCGTTAAATACTTAATCGTCGAAAATGGTTCGTTCTGCCGGCAGTGCTAACGCGATATTTCCCGCTTGAATTTTACATCCCTCGGAATCGAGCAAACAATAACTCCCGAAATCCCCTGTCGTTTCTCACGATCCCCCAGAAATGGAAGCCTGAAAGCGAAGAACTTTCGTCTTACGATCGAGATTACTGTCAAATAATTCGACGCGATCTCGCGATCTCTCGCGCGCGGCCGAACGCGGAAACTTGTAGGATTCGCGACGCGCTCAACCGACCCACGCAATAATCTGATAGAGTCGTATTAGCCTGAATTCCGACAATCCAGTTAGCTACCCTACCCCTCGCCCGGTCTGATCCAGCCTCGTCCTGAATTCGAAGCAATTGACACGAACTGGCACGCTCACAATCAAGTAACGCAGACTGATGGGTTTCCTAAGATGGCACCGTGCGCCAAAGTCGCAAAACAGTGGGTTGATTCCCTCGTAAACACGTTATCACGATCAGCTAAATTAGCTATCAAGATGCAGTTGGCGTTATTCACGCGTGACTTGTCGTGCGGAAAATTTACAAGAAATGTTAACTAAAATTGTAATGCCAACAAAGCTAAAAGAAACCGTCAAGAATAAGCGTAATTTAAATAAGCCGAACGGCGGCCGGCTGTTTGCCAACAGCGGAACGTTGCAAGTCTAGTTTATTGTGAATGTAACTTGATGACCGGCGACGCGTTTTTGTGCCGTTTAACTATAATTTTGACAAAACATTCATAAAAAGTGTAATAACATCGCGTGACACGACGGTGTTGCATGGACAGTAACGTCGGGATCTCATCTCACAGAAGCGGCAATCCCGCAGAGGTATCATCGAAATTGCGCGTTTATCTTGTGGATGAAGAAATAATTATATGTATCAAGGAATCTCACGAGACGTCGCAAGCAAGCTATGGAAAAATGCAAAAACAAATTTCGTCGCGCACGCGATAGTGTTTACACCGCATAGCCTACATTCGTTTTTTTTCAAGAGCACGTTGACTTGAAATTCTGATTAAAACAAAGGCAAATAATTGGAAAATTTTTCCCACGTAAAAGAATCTAAGTTGAATTATGATCAATGCGGAATTGAAGAAATGTCAACAAGAATGTATGGATATTCAATATCAATTTTGGAGACAAAAAATAACTCCGAACAATTATATTAAATAAAGTCAAAATAAAAACTTAATTGGGAAAAAATCTTTTCAATGAAAGCCCGAAATAATTTTACATAGCGAATTGATCGATCGACAATCCCGGATTCTTTCTCGTGTCGTCTCGGTCTCTTGAGAAACACTGACCTTCGCAAGAGGCTTTAACTTATTTGGATTGACTTACCGAGCATTTTGATACCCTGGACAGGACTCAGAGGGTAGAAGTCCCCGTGAAGCGGACAGTGAAAGCCCACCCTGCGCTCCCTCCGCCTGGCACGTCTCGTAAGCATGCAGAGTAGCACGCCGAGGGCGAGCATAAGAGCGCCCACAACTATGCAGATCGGCCCCAGGATACGGGAATTGCCAGTAAAAGCGATCCTTGCGGCGTACGAGTTCTTGTCCTCATCCTCGCCGGGGCCGCGGTAAGAAGCAGCTGCAACAGGAGGACAAGCAAACCGAAAATTAATCGCGGAAATTAACAAAATAAAGCATATCGTTTTTTTTTCCAGCTAGACGAATCCTTTTTCTTTTTTGGCGCAAAAATGAAGCAAGTTCTTACACAAAACTGCTTTAATTCTATTGATATATACACATGTAACATCTGTAAATTCGCAAACTGTAAATAATTTACTTTCCGCGTTCCTAGTGTTGAATAAACTCTCAAATGATGTTAGCTCTTAACTGCGGGAGTGATTAAACAGTCAAGCTTGTTCAAACAGGATTTCCGCTGCATTGAACTCGACTTTTACGAAAAGCTCTCAGCGGATAAGGCTTTATGTTCCCTTCGCGTGTCTCTCGTACAATGCCGCAAAATCGTTTTACTCTCCGCGAGGCTTCGTAATCGCGTTGATTCGGCGAGGTTCGAACCATCGGCATTGACTACGCAAACGTGGGAACTTTTATAGGGAGAAGTTTTATGTGCTCGAAGGGGAATTCTATAGTACGACGCAATAACGCTCGTCTTATCACTGTCAGTCGCTTTGTGGCAGAATGTCGCCGTGTATTTGGAGAGAAAATGTACGTTTGTAAACGTGAGTGGCGGAAATAATGGACGTAAATACGCTCGCCATAGAGAGTTCGCCTTCTAGCATATTTTAATCGATAACGCTGGCGAAACGCTTCATAAATTGTTGTCATGCGCAGATTCAGGAAACTTCTCCTCGCATTTGTCGCTTTTTCTTTGCGGATAAGATAAGAAAACTTCATAAACTTCACAATAATGTGAATAAAATGAACTTTATCTTATGCTTCTGCCTACATTGTACATTTTATTCTCATCGTAAATTTCATCCTATCTTTATTCAATCTATATTCTGACAAAAATATTTAAAACAATTTTATAATAAATAATTAACATCAATTTTTACAATTTTATGATATTTAATCTTTTTTCGCCTTTTTCTATTATCATTATATTAACAAAGATATTTTACTTTGGAACGAAATACGTCATAGTGAAACAGCAAATCTCTCAAAAGCATAAAAATAATATATGAAGCAGCATGAAAAATTGAAAAAGTTATGAAATTGAAGAAAATACAGATAAACTACACACCCGCAAGATTCTCAACAATGTCTTACATTTAAATTAACGATCCATTCAATTAGTCCGTAATTAGAAATAAAATCCTCGTTCCACTTGACTATCAAAGGGGACTCGGGTGCGATAAACGTAACAAAGACATTAAACGCGGCATGAATAAGCAATAAGGACGGAGAGATATCGGGAGCACCAAGGAGGAAGAGAGAGACGCGTGAAAACAACGAAAGGGAAATGCGACCGGTCTCGGCGCGGCGGCGATAGGAAAAAAGGAAGACAGTGAAGGGACGACAGACCGGTTTTGATAAATCGGTTGGTAACAACACTCGGCAGCCCGTACGTGCAGAAGCGTGGCCGCGAAGTGACGGCGGACGATGTGAGGGGCCAGCTGTTGCCTGGCAAACAGCCTGGGCCTTCTTCTACTTGTCCTTTTTCTTCTCCACTTCTTCGTCGCGATATGAAAGCTGTATCTATGGTGCTATCTCCGGGGTCAGCGCCCCGACGAGCGAACTATAGCGCCTCTCAAATTAATTCAGCGAGAAAGAACGGGAAGCAGTATCTCGCGTCTTGAAAAGAGGCCTCGAAGTCTTCCGGGTGTTAATATATCAACGGCGATCGTATATGTAAAACGTCATTTACTTTTCCAATTTCCGCTGAGCTTGGGTTAATCGATCAACCTTTCAATATTATTGTCGGGTGTATAATTAATATAATATATAGAATTCACATTTATTAATCTATTTATATCTGCGAAGGACTTCTAAGATTTCTTCGCCGAGAAATTCGCTATTAATATTAATACTATTACGTATTAATATTAATTAATATTAATACCAGCATTAATATTTAAAAGCATGACGTATAAGCGGAGCAAACGCTATATAATTGCTACGTAATTTGCTAGAAACTACAAGATGAACTAAGTAATTTGCAACTTAAACGCGTTACATGTTGCTCACGGAATTCCAGAATATTTTCGCGCAAACTAGCGCAACTCCGCCGCTGCTTCGGCTTACTGAACACGGCTTCTTTTTTCCATGTAATTAATCCGCTTATAAAAAGCCAGTAGAGGCTTCAGTACGATTTGTATGTGACGAAGAATACTAAACCTGAGAGTTATCTTTGCGTTACGTCTGCCATCAAAAACATGTGTTGACAGTCATGCAAGCCGTCGAGAAACACGGATTCTCCTTCATATAATTTCAACTTTATATCATCCGGCATTACCATAAATGAATAAAAGATTTTTATTCCTGCGAAGAAAGATTGCGCGATCTTCAGTTTCGCCAAACACAGAATTATTTATTTCGAAAATTAAAATATTGTAATAATTTAAATTTACATGAGAGAATTTGTTTTTTCTTCGTGCAATTATGAATATAACTACTTGTTTAACAGTGCCTATATTAACAATGTTATTTTTATAAATGTGCAATGTTAGAAAAATCAGAATCTGTAATAAATAATAATGCTTGATCGAATCCTTATTAAGAAAAATCGATCGCATCTTCCGCGAATATATTGTTGACACCAAAAGGCACTGATAGAATTTTCTACGTCTACAGTCGATGTCACATTGAAATAAATAGTAAACAACACTAGTGCATTCTTGAGCGAAATAGGACACATAGATGCACTTTCTCGTTAAGCGATAATGAATCATTATGATATCTCGCAATATATACCGATCTCCTCCTTTCTAAGCGACCTAGATGCGATTACGAAGCCTATGCTTTCTCCGAAATGGAAAGCTTGAGATTATTCTCATCCGCTAATAACGTCGTGACGCATGCTCCATTCCTACATTAATGCGAAAGTGTGGACAACAAAAAGAGTAAAAGTTCGGGAATGATAAATCGTTGATGCAACGATAAGCGACGTTGTGAAAAATTAGGTGTTCTTAATGCTGTAAATTAGCATAATTTTAATAAGATAAACGGGACGTTTCAGAACGTTCTTCATTTGTGACGTCCACTCGACGCGATTAAAGCTATCTTAATTCTTGGCGAAAACCGGTTAGAATTTTGCGCGCCGTCGCGAATTTTGCGGGATCGATCGCGAGATGCAAATGAGGATACAAACGACGCGTAACGAGATAACGGTGCGGAACAAAAGAAAAGATTGCGAGAGATCCGCCCGGCCGAGATGTAAGTACCGTTCAACGCACTGTTTGCTCTTGCAAATATAACAATTCACACGAGTGCATTTAATTAGTTGTAAAATGGAATTATGCGGCGCGGTTAAAATCCTCGTAACGGTGAAACTTTTAGAAATATCCAGAGAGAGAGAGAGAGAAAGAAGCAGCAGACATCTCGTTTATTTGATCGTAACGTTTTCTGATAAATTTTTGTGATACGTCAGCCGCGTGTCTAACGGACAATATGTCTGTTAAACGTCAAATTTTATTTGCTTAGAAAGAGAGTGTGTATCCAAGCGTGAGATGAGAGCTGCATTTCTACGGCACGACGAGAATAGCGGGTCTGTGGTTTTAGAGAAAACGCGTAACAGAATCTACAGCGGCATGCAGTGTCTGTTGCGCGAAGAAGTATGCTACTCTCAGAAATGGCGCTTTGACGCAGAATATACTTCTAAAAAAAAAATACCACGTTTGTGACAGTTCCGAAATTGTTTTTATTTTTTTTTCTTTAATATCGCGACAAGTCCGTTCCTTTCATCCGCGCCTCTCACGCCTGTTTATTTGCACGCAAAATACACACCCATCTTTAAGAAAAAAGACGGATGTAATATTAGATGACAATAATGAGCAAGTACGAACCAGTGAGAACGGCGCCGACGAGCATGAAGAGCGTGCCGAATGCCGGAAGGGCGATCTGGCAGTTCGCCGCTATTACTACGCCGGCCACCATCAAGCCGCCCTCGATTTTCTCCACCCTCAGTCGCGATATGGGAGTCGGGCATTTCAATTTCGCGCCGAGACCGCCGCCCAGCATTCCCTCCTCAGCTGCCATACTGCCAGTCCTGCAACAACAATGAATGAGACTAATTAGAGAGCCGTAATAAAGGATTTCCGGTGAAAATTGTTACGGATGAGTGATCATCCGTAAATGGAACGGGACATATTTATTTCATGTAAAAGATATATTACCTCCTGTATTATTTGTACAATTGGATAATCAATCATGAAGGCAAATTACAAGCATCATTTTATTGTAAATAATTGCCCTAAATAAATCCGTAAAAATTCAACGATAATGATTTGCGAACCGTATGCGTCCACGAAGTAAAAGGCAAGAAAAGAGAATAAAAAATAAAGAACAAAAAAGTGAGTCGGGCTCAGCCGGGATTTGAACCCGGGACCTCTCGCACCCAAAGCGAGAATCATACCCCTAGACCACTGAGCCGCTTGATAATCTTTTGATGATATATTCTCAAGCTGAACTGTAAAATTATTAATTTTAATTAAATGATTAATATCGTGACCAAACCAAGCCCACAAAAGTGGCCATTTCAATTATTAACACTTTCACGGCCGCTCGCTAATTTTACGTTTACTGTTTTTTGCGTCATTGTATTAAGTCGTGTAATATGAAATGTCGGATTTTTCAGAAAAGAAGGAAAAGGCAGAGCCGAATATATTAACGGTCGCAAAAGTGTTAAACTTCAGACAAATTTATTCACAAATATCAATAATTTAATTTCCTGTGAATAAAGTTCTAACCTAATTAGAGAGCGTTGTAATAAGCTCTTTATACTGTAAGAGAGTAAATTTAATTAGTAAAGGTAGAATTTATTATGGGGATTATAGAAACATTCAAAGGAAAAGTGCATTACGCAAAGTCGTATACATAAATTCCGCTTTGAGTACGGCTTCGTATTTAAAGTGGACTTTACAAGTGGCGAACTCTCGCTTTGAACATCTCGTGCATCATTCTTTCCACGACGATCAAACTTAGACATCTTATTCACGCTTCGAAACTTCACGAAGACAGCGTTCTCATAGACACGATCGACCTTTTCAGCCGTGATGAACGATCGGAGCGTAAAATCGCGTAAACGTACGTTCCCGGCAAATTGCAGCGTTTACACGACGAAGTAATTGAATCAATCTCCCACATCATATACTGCTACTAATTCGACGCAGAAGCCTCGTCGGCGTAACTCCGCCGGGGCAGGATAATTAACGCGAATGCCCTTTGCGGATCGTCGAACTAACAAATGACGCAGGTTACGTTCCGCCCGAATTCTCAAGTGTGCATTACATCATTATCTTTAATCGCGAAATGACCAAGAAATTAATAAGTTCGATATGCTTTCCCATTTTTCTATATACAATACGTATTGTATGTCGATTAATAACAAATTTGCAAAACAATTAATGTTTAAAAGCGGCACAAAATAATTTCGTTTCTTCAATTCGGACAATACGACAGAGAGAAATCGAACACAATACGCAACTGGTCTGTAAGGGATTAATTAAAATCTTACGGGCGAAATACAAGAGAAATTAGCTTCGTATTGAAGCCCCACACAAGTGCAGCATTTGCGTGGTCAGCACGCGGCTGCGGCGCATTGTTTTTACCGTTGCAACAATGATATATGGATTTGTTAGTGCACACGACGAATGTTGAATTCCATGCTCCGAATCTGACTGTCAACGATAAATAACGCGGGATATTCTCTATTGGCTCGTCACTCTCGCTACCACGGCTGCAATAATAAACGCCAAACTAGCTGCCATTTGTAGACAACAATGCAGATAACGTAAAATTTTAACACCTGCGACAACAAGCGAAAGCGAACAGTGGTGTAACGTTTGATGTATAAGACGCATGACACGATTTTCCATTCACATTTCTTCGTACGCACACTGTGTATTTTTATGTATATTTGTGTATGATTTTTAAAAATATATATCCAATTAGTAAGCAAGCTCTCTAGAGAGATTATTCTCTAGAAATAATATTTATTTTTCGCGTAACATTCTTGTTTTTATAATGCCATTTTCATGTTATACTCTATCAATTAAATTCTTCTACCAAATGAGCTTATTTAATTAAATTTATTTGAATTATTTTTAGAGAACCTACCTTTGCAGCGATATTTACTAGGTGCGCAATTAAGTTTCCGGGTTTTTTTTTATCAATGCAAAATGGAAAATTTCAAGAGAAATACAAAAAACGGTTTATTCAAAGTATCGTCCCTCGCTAGCTACACATTTTTGCCATCTCTCTGGCAATACATGAATACCGCGACGATAAAACGACGCGTCTTTGCATCGAAACCATTTATCCAATCAGTTTTGCACTTCTTCGAAATTGGCCAAGTGTAGCCCAGCTAAGCCATGTGCCATCGACCGGAACAAGTGATAATTGGAAGGGGCCAGGTCTGGTGAATAAAGCGGGTGCGGTAGCAGATCCCATTTCAGCGTTTTGATGGTGTCCTGGACGATGGAAGTGCGATGGCACGGAACGTTGTCGTGCTGCAATATCACTCGTTCGTGTCTCGTGTCCCATTCTGCCGTTTTTCGAGCAATGCATGGTTCAAATTTATCAGTTGTTGTTGTCTTGTGTTTGCGTATCATTTTCATCCAATAACGCTTGCAGATCGGCGTCCTCAAATGTTTTTGGTCTTCCGGAGCGCTCCTTGTCCTCAGTGTCGAAATCGCCATTTCTAAAGCGTTTAAACCAATCTTCACAAGTAGTTTTCGATTGTGCATGTTCGCCGTAGGCTTTCTCAAGCAAACGGCGTGCTTCAGCTGCATTTTCTTTCAAGTTGAAGCAGAAAAGCAAAGCTTCCCGCAAATGCTGTTTATTTGGCACAAAACTCGACATCTTTATTGTTAGAAAAAATATTTTTGCGTTGCAATATGTGTTGGTATTATGACTGGTTATTGTTGACAGATGTCCAAGTTAATAAAAAAACACAACTTTAGACATGTATATCGACTACATGTATCGTTAGCGCCATTCATGTGTGAAACCCGGAAACTTAGTTGCGCACCTAGTAAACGCAGCTTTTTAAAATAATTTTTCTTTTATTCCAATTTTTCGCAAATTTCTGTTGATGATGAAATCGTACAATCTGGAGTTAACTCCAATTAAATTGAATCATTCCTCTTTCGATTTGCAGGGAGGATTATTCCGCTAAAAATATTGTATCGCATAAATGCCTATTTCGCAATAAATTCATTCACTCACAATTAAATTTTTCTTTAAAAACGACTGTGCAAAACTGCCTCGACAATCTCCGCGTATTGACGTCAACTGCGATAAACTACAAAACGCCAATTCTATCAATTTCGTGCGTATTCGTCCGAAGTGCACGCATCGACCGCCTGAAAATCACTGGTCTCTTCAGCGGTCTTGCCAGAATTTTTGTAACGATGAGATAACAAAGAGCTGGCGACGCAACGAACTTATCGTTTTTATTTTCGGTATACGCGAGACTATGCAAATCGTCTTCAATCATAAATCAGATGACAAATGCAGATTGCTTGCGGCGCGTTAAAATCTAAATTTACACATACAAAAAGGAAACAAACATGCAGAAAGATGCAGTAACACTGGTCGTTCGACAAAAACGTTGCAATACGAATTACTTATTTATGCAACTTTATTTCGCGTCGCCATTTATTCTCGCAACGTGAAAAATACAAATGACGCCTTGTCTTGCAATATATGATTTTCATGATAAACAAGCAAAATTTTAATTTAAAACATTAAAAAAGTTATTAATAAAATATGTTATACAAGTGAATAATTGACAATATATGAGCTTTCGTTTGTAAATAACAAAATAATTAATTTTTCTGAAAAACAATGAAGCGCGCACATCTAGTCATACGTCATATTGTCATACATCTCGATATTTCCATCCATCCATATTTTTTTTAGTAATATTTTTAGTATAATTTATTTACTTCTACTGATAATATTCGTACTTTGATCGATCAAAGTTTATGGGAATTGCGTGTCATGCTCTATCATGTAAAATTCAAGTTTCATCTTCTGGCACAACTTTTTACAGCCCTAAGTGATCGGAAGATATACACGTGATAGGTATATATATTTTATCGCAACTTTCAAAAGCAAAAAAAAAATTACAAATTGCATATTAAAAATGTTTTCATAATAATGACATTATATTAATATTAATAGACAACTTTTAAAACAGAAATTTCACATAGAGTTTACTTTATCAATTTTTATCCGATTTCTCATAAATTAAAGAAATATTTTCAAAGATTAAATCATACACTCACAAGTTTCGATTAGCGTCAATTGAGTTTTAAAAGCCATAAGTCTCTAAATAGATCACATACTTTATTTGTCGAATTCGTATTGTTCCAATTCAAATAAGATATTCGATAACAATTAAACATTCGTGATATTTAAATGTTAATGATCAAGCACGCAATTTTTAATCTATTACGTAAGCTAAGAAGAGAATTTTAATATAAATGTGATCGCACGCGCGCGCGCGTGAATGATTGTACATTGTTTGTGACGCTCAACGTCTCAAATTCACTTATGTTTTTACGGAAATTCGATGCTCGCATACGCAGTACACGTACGCGATCACCGCAAGAGTTTATCGGATAGCATAGAGGACGTGTCGCGATCAAGATGACCTTATTCTGAAGATGTCGATGAGATAACCCGTGTAGCTGGGCGATTCTTGACTCGCCTCGCCCTCTGCCCCATTTACCCGGATGTTTCAGGTCATCGAGGCCGGGAGGGGGGGAGGGGAAGGGATAACAATTGAAGCAACAAGACCGAGTGCCATTTGCTCTCGCTCCACTGACTATAAATAGGCCTCTATCGCGTCTCGAAAGGGGCAAAATTGGAAAATCGACGTTTTGAGGGTCACAAATCGCGCTCACTTTGCGAAAGTATTAATATTGAAATCATTATTAAGAGTTCTGATAATAATAAAAAATAATTACCATGATGATGCATTGGATAATCAATGTTTGTGAAAATATAACTCATTACTTCAAAGAAATATAATTCTTTTAA